GCGGACACGCGGCAGCATGTCACTGCTGCGTCTCCACCATGAAGACCCAAGAGACACGGATGACCCCAAGAGCGCACATCAAAAAACAAGATGTCGGGGCGCCTGGGTGGCTCAGTCGGTTAAGCGGCTGCCTTCGGCTCAGGTCATGATCCCAGGGTCCTGGGATCGAGCCCCGCATCAGGCTCCCTCTCAGTGGAGAGTCTGCTTCTCCCTCTCCCTCTGCCTGCCTCTCTGCCTACTTGTGCTCTCTCTCTAGCTCTCTGTCAAATAAATAAATAAATAAATCTTTAATAAATAAATAAATAAATAAAGATCTTTTTCAGGGACAACCCAAACCACATCCTCTGGCTTTTATTTTACATATTCAGCCAGGCTTTTCCAAGCACTGGGCCTCCTTCCCTGGGTCCCCTCCTCTCAGCAGATGGGGCCTGGGAGGAGCAGGGACACCTGTCGGCAGCGGGGGCTCCAGAACTCTGCGGGATGTGGGTCCTGGCACCCATCTTCTCCGCGGCAACGCTCCCTGCCCGCCTGACTCCCACAGCACGCAGAGCCAGCAATGGGCCGAGACACTAACAGGGGTCTGGGCCTCCTCATTCCTCCCTCAATGCCTGGCCTCCCTCCCGGGCTCCAGGCTACCACCTGCAGTAAGCCTAGAGCACAGATCTGACCCCCGCTGAGAACCACGCCTCCCTGCCTGGGGCAGGTGGATCTGCACGCCTTGCACGCAGGCTGCAGCTGGCAGCCTGGCCCCCGCAAGCCTCCACCTGTCCTCCCCTGTCCCCCTTCCCAGGAGCAGTGCACCCCATAGGCAATTCCTCAGAGAGCACCCGCAGACTCCCCCAGGCCCGTCCAGGGAAGGAGTCCCGAGCTCAGCTGTCAAGTTTCAGCGAGAGGTGCTGGCAGCGGAGGGCCAGGGGGCTCCAGGCTGGGGGTCCGCAGGAAGGGACTTAGAGCTGCGTCCTGCGGCCCAGCCGAGGCAGGAAAGCATACAGGGGGAGCACCCCTCTTTCTCAGGTGCACCTTCCCGGGGCAACCGCCTGGAGACCCTGGCACAGTCTATGGAAGCTCTGGGCATGCAGCCCCTGGGGGTCAGGCGTGGACACCACAGCAACCCCAGCCCTGAGACTGCTGGGCCCGGAGCCTGAGCTCCCCACACCCAGGGCTGCGGGTTCGTCCTGTGGCCAGGGTACCCTCCGCGGGAAGGGACACGGCCGACACTCCAGCCGCTGTCCAGGACAGGCTGCTGGGTCACAGGGCGTCCCACTCACCAGGAGCAGACGTGCGGGTTC